AAGAGAGGCTCCTTTTACCTGACTTTTTCTCCAGGCCCAACACAACGCAGTCATTTTTGGTAGAGTGACATACTTCCTAATATGGTCTTGATAGTTGGGGAATGAAAAGGGAAAAGAAAATTACTACTTTAGCAGACGTAAGACTTTATCTGGTGGTTTAATCAACTCTAAATATAAAATTTGAGGTAATAACTATAAAAAGTGTTATAAGTACATTTTGTTGGAATGCTACAAAATGTAGACTGTCCCTGCCACTCATTCTTTTGTCAGTAAAATGCCTTACACAGAAATCACAAATTCTAAACAATTTAAGTTTAGATATTTCTCAGTACAAGCAAAAATGCTAAACTCCCATGCATATCAGATCAGCATAACTTCATTGTCAGGTAACCCTGCTCTTATGGAATTACATTAATAGTGGTATCAGATTATAAGGACTGGTGATGAATGAGTTAGAACTTTAATTTTTTTTACAGATGGGGTCTTGCTGTGTTGCCCAGGCTGAATTCAAACTCCTGGGCTCAAGCAATCTGGTATGCCCCAGCACACCCAGTTTAGGACTTTTCTTTTCCCATTGGTGTTTCAAATTCAGACACCACCTTCCCATTTACTAGCCCTTTTACTTTTTTTTTTTTTTTTTTTGAGACAGAGTCTCGCTTTCTTGCCCAGGCTAGAGTGAGTGCCGAGGCCTCAGCCTAGCTCACAGCAACCTCAAACTCCTGGGCTCAAGCAATCCTCTTGCCTCAGCCTCCCGAGTAGCTGGGACTACAGGCACGAGCCACCATGCCCGGCTGATTTTTTTTATATTATATATATTAGTTGGCCAATTAATTTCTTTCTATTTTTATGGTAGAGACGGGGTCTCGCTCAGGCTGGTTTTGAACTCCTGACCTTGAGCAATCCGCCCGCCTCGGCCTTCCAGAGTGCTAGGATTACAGGCGTGAGCCACCGCGCCCAGCCCCCTTTTACTTTTAAGCAAGTAACAGAAAAAACCTCGTTGGGAAACTGCATGTGATGCACTCACCTTTACCCATTTATAGGCCAGGAACTCAATCCCACCTAATCTGCTTTGTGGCAAGAGGGCTTGGAAAGCCTTCAGAATTGACTAGGGCCCCACATCCTGCACCAGTTTTCAGGGTGTTAGTGTTTGCAACTCACTTATCCCAACTCAATGAACCTTGAACCAAATCAGCCTAAAGCACTGTACAATCTTCCTTCTACTAGAAGAGTGGTAAGAATAAACGAACTGGGCTTTGTATTAGTTGCCTAAGGCTGCCATAACAAATGACCAAGAACTGGGTGGCTTAAAACAACAGAAATTTATTCTCTCATAGTTCCAGAGGCTCAAAGTCCAAAATCACGGTGTCAGCAGAGCCATCTTCCTTTGCCGGCTCTAGGGAAATATTGCCTTCTCCTAGCTTCCAGTGGTTGCCTGCAATCCTTGGTGTTTCTCGGTTTGCAGCTGTATCACTCCAATTTCTGCCTCTGATCACATGGACTTCTGTCCTGTGTATTTGTGTTCGTGTTTCCGTCTTCTTACAGAGACATTACTCATTGAATTTAGGGCCCACCCTAATCCAGTATGACTTCACCTTAACTTGATTACATCTGCAAAGACCCTATTTCCAAATATGGTCACATTCACAGGTTCCAAGTGGACATGAATTTTGCAGGGGAGACTATTCAACCCAGAAGACCTCACAAAGCTTGATTTAGGGGGTAACCCACCAGAAATAAGGACAAAAAGGAAATGTATGAGCATTTCTGATTCTTGGAGTTCAACATGTGAATCCTGGAAAGTTTGAGAACTTGTCTTCTCATAATCTAATCCAGGATATTTATTAAGCAGTGCTTGATTATATTCTATAGCTGCACTCCTAACATTTTATTTTTCGTTGCCTTAGTGAATGCATAAAACATTTCAAAGGTTCTTTTTCATAAGTTTATAACAATAAAGTAAAAATTATTTATCACAGCCATATTTCTCCCTATTTGCTATCATAAAAAGGGAGATACCTAGTAGCTCAATCTAGTAGCTGGCTGAGTCCTAGGCTTGGTGCTGTCAGACTAGCACTCTGCTCCTTGGTGTTTTCATCTAAAATAAGGGTCAGCAAACTACAATTTATGGGCTACTCAACCTGCTGCCTGTTTTTGTAAATAAAATGTTATTGGAGCAGAGCCAGCAAGCTCATTTGTTCATGTACTGTCTATGGCGACTTTCATACCACAATAGCAAAGCTGAGTAGTCGCAACAACCATATGGTTCACAAAACCTAATGTCTGGCCCTTTACAAAAAATAAATTTGCTGACCCCGGATCTCTAGACTATGGGGGCTTCACCAGAAAAAAATTCCTTAAATCTCTCAATTTGAGTGCTGACAGGGAACTCAGGGATGTTTTTATTCAGAAGCGCCAACAGGATAGCTTATATAACTCTTTACTGGATATCTGCAATATTTTTTTTAAAGAGATCTCGCTCTGTAGTCCAGGCTGGAGTGCAGTGGCACAATCATAGCTTACTGCAGCCTGTGCCTAGCCTTGGATATTTGCAATTTAACATTTTAGTCATATCTTTACATCTTTAAATTCCTTGAGGTAATTCTGAAATGTTTGAGTTTCATAAGGCTGAAAAATAGGCTGGGCACAGTGGCTCATGCCTATAATGCTAGCACTCTGGGAGGGCAAAGTAGGAAGATTGCTTGAGGCCACCCTGGGCAACATAGCAAGACCTTGTCTCTACAAAAAAACAGAAAAATGAGCCAGGCATGGTGGTGTGTCCTTATAGTCTCAGCTACTTGGGAGGCTGAGGCAGGAGGATCAATTGAGCCAAGGAGTTTGACTGCAGTAAGCTATAATGATGCCACTGCAGTCTAGCCCAGGAAATAGAGTAAGACTGTCTGAAAACAAAAAAACAAAAAAACCTGAAAAGTAAATATAGAGTTAAATTTCACTATTTCACTTTACCACTATGGTGGTAAAGTCATGGGTATTTCAATGTTGCTGAAAAGGCTGGTTGTTTTAAATAGTCAGTAGGCAATGAATAAAAACCAGTAACACTCCCTTGGAATCTAACTGAAATATTAAGCTGTATGGATTATTTATGAATGCTAAGATTTTCTTAAAGGCATATTAATAAAGTTGTAGAATTTGTAATTTTTACAAGTTAACAAATGGCTTTGTCAGGATCTGGCTTGGGATTTTTCTATTTGGAATGCAACACAGCGACAACTTTCCCCTCAAGTTAGTAGACTGTGCCTTTTACACTGCTGTCAATTTGAAGGTTTTCCTCTGTGAACTTTGTAAAGAAAGCATTATCCTTTGGGAGAAGTTGCACTGTAAACTGTCTCTTCTCTTTTAGCTGGACACGCAGCAGCATCGTTCACGCGCAGCCGAGTATCCTCATCAGGCCCGACCTGGTAGGGGATCTGCAGGTACACGTGGGGCCACGGCCCTTATTTTACCACTGAGTGGATATGTTAAGACCCTACCTTTGTTTTGTTCTTTCCCCCCACCTACACTTATTTTCCTTTCTTCCAGATATTCTTATATTTATTTTGTTTTCACACATCTTTGCAAATCACCTCAAATTCATTTGGGGACATGAGGTATAATAAAAAGATAGAAGAGTTCTATTGCTCAAAGCCAAAAAGTTGCAGATTTCTGCTGTTTTCATACCATATAATTAACCTCTCACTACTATGGTAAACTATTTTTTTAATCTAAAAACTTTAAGCCAAATAAATAATTTTCATAACATTTGAAATAGTCCTTAAGAACATGGCATGGATTTTACAATGTAGGTAAAAATTGATACTCCTATGGATTAAACTGCTTTGGTCAGTTAACCTGTTAGGCTAAGGTAAGAAAAACTCTTAAATGTCAGGATATGCTGAGTCTGATTCTAGCCCATTAACTTTTTATCTCTAAATTATACTCTGTAGATATATTAACAAAGGAGTGATAGATGAAAATTTAGGGATGTCTTAATTCTTCCTATGACAGTCTTCTCATTACCATCAGGGTCATTCTTATTACTTTGTAGGCAAATTTGGAAGTACTGGGCAGCTGAAGTGTTTCCTGTTAATGGTAGGATTAATCAGCAAATACAGAAAAAAACTAATCTGCCCAAGCGATCTTTGTAGTCCTAGTGATTTTTTAGTTCAGTTCCTAGTAGCACTGGCTGGTAGTCTTTAAATGCTTTCACTAGATTCTGCTTTTGGCTCAGTCCTCATAGAGAAACATTGCTGCCTCTGAGCTAGTGTCAGCCACACCGACAGTCAAGTGTAACTAATGTAACATTTAGGTGGGTAACTAATGTAACATTTAGGTGAGTGAAACATCTTAGTCCTTTTTTTTTTAGACAGGGTCTTACTCTGCCACCTGGGCTAGAATGCAGTGGTGCGATTGTAACTCACTGCAACCTCAAACTCCTAAGTTCAAGTGAGCCTCCTGCCTCAGCATCCCAAGTAGCTGGGACTACAAGTGGCCAGCTAATTTTTCTATTTTTTTGTAGAAACGAGTTCTTGCTATGTTACCCAGACTGGTTTTGAACTCCTGGCCTGAAGCAAGTGATCCTTCCACCTCAGCCTCCCAAAGTGCTAGGATTGTAAGCGTGAGCCACACCTGGCCCTTAGTCCTTTTCAGTTAGTGGGTTTTTCTCCAACATTAGGTTACTGCTTTTTGTATCTACAGAATACAAGTTTTTTATTTCTACAGGATAAAATATATAAACATGTTTTCTATTGCCTTGGTAAATATATACTGTACCACTTACCCAGTCTCCAAATTTAAAGTGTAACAGATAATTGGATCAAAAAAGCCCTGAGATATGAACTTGGAGTTACCAAATCTAGACTTCTACTAATGTTACTCTATGATGTCATCTGTGTTTAACAGGTCCTCAGTTACATGGGTCTACAAAATCTCAAAGCAGAGGTGGACCAGTCCCTAGAACCAGGCAGGGACCATAGGGCAATGAGAAGAATGCATCAGGCTGCAGGGAACACGTGGGAAGATTTCATGAATCAGTGTTCAGTCATGGAGTGATGCAGAACTTGTTTGTATACAAGATCAACTTGAAACCATCTTCATGAAGAGTTATTTGGTACAACTGACTGTGAAAAACACAACAGAGTATCCGCCAAAAATTACATGGATACTGTGTTTCTATCTCCAGTTAACTGTCTTCTTGCAGCATAAATGAACCCATTCTACTGGACAGTAAAGTTTGTACCCAAAGATGTAACAATGAATAATACCCAAATCACTGCTCATGTTGTCTGTTAAGAATGATCAGTTCAATTATTATAGGTTTCTATGATATTACAACATACATGAAAAGCAGCAAATGATTGTTTGATAACATTATTGGCTTTAAAATACTTCCACTTGTATTAATTTCTAGAGAGTTGTACTAAGATCTAAGTCATTTTTAAGAGATAGTGCTTTCAAAAATCCGACCTACTCATTAGATGTCATTCCATAGCTTTCTCTTTAGATGTCCAATCCTATCAGCAGATTAAAATGTAAGGGGTAATTAAAGACATAAATGTTAAGCACTGGTGTAAAGTAACTTATGTAATAAATCATATTGCATATTTTTTTCAGATAGGACAACTCAACCTTTACAATGCCTGTTTGATATCAGGTTTTGCTTATTTTCTCTAAAAAGTATTTTTCTGGTCATATTTTTTTCCCCAAATATTAAACTCACCTTGCCAGATTTTCTCCTATAGCTCTAAGAAAGTCAATTAAAAAATAATTTGTAGGGCCTATTAGTGAGCCACCAAAGTACAATTCCTTAAAAATTTATGAAACCCTGGCAGTTAGTCCAGCAAAAACATATCCTAAAAGCAGCAGAATTAGAGGGTCAGCATTCTGATTTTACCACAGGGTAGAATCAGTAGTACCTGAGGGTACTCATGAATGCAGCAATGGTTTTAACTATGGCTTAAATTTATTTTATTTAAATTTCATTGAATACTAATCTTGATTATCATACCAATTTTAGATGTAATTGTTAATTTTCAGAGTGGATGAATTCAAATGATCATAAATTGGGATAACTTTTTATCATACCAAGGTGTTCTTATGCTATCATACAAAGATGCTTTAGACAACTCACATTAAATTATATTTTTAATACAATTAAGGAGTATTTTTTAACCTGCTTGTAATCACAAACTGAAATGTATCATGTGCTTACCTTAGATAAATTATGATACATAAAGCTCAACAGCAAGAGAAAGTTTGTTTTATGCATCTAGTATGTTGAATATATTAGCCCACAAATTAAAGGTTTTAAGTTGAACAGTCCCTAAAAAAATTCCTGTATAGTCTAATGAACATATACCACCTCATCTAAGTGAAAATCTCTGTATTGTTCTCACAAACCAATACCGTAAGTGTAATATAACAAATGACTGGATTAGTATGGTTTGCCTTTCAAAATTAAATAGTCAGAAAGGGGCCTCTAAGAAGCCATTTAGCCTAATTCCCTCACCCTTTGTGTGTGTGTGTATTCACTCAAAATGAGTGCAAATTTTTTTCTTTTACAAAAACAATGGACATATTTAAGGTATACAATCTGATGCATTTGGATCTCACTCTTATTTATAAGTGAGGAAACACATTTAGGCAAGCTCAGTGACCTGACCAAGGACATTCAACAGTTAGAGGCAAGACTATAACGCACATTTCTTTATGCTACTTAAACTGGGCTGTCTATTATAACACTGACTAGGACTACTTTTTTTCCCCTTCTTCTCTTTCCTAAAGAACATATTCTTTTTCTAGATCACATTTTAAATGATCACTGGGATCATTTAAAAAGCCCCTAGATGTAACGATCATTTTCTTATTTAATCATATACACATCTTAGAAAAATGCTTGAAGTAATTTGAACACCTATTTTTCCCATACTTCAAACAGATTACAGAACCTGACTGAATAAAACAAAAAAAGAAAGATCTATTCAGGATTATTAAGACAAAGGTAAATTGGCAGTTATTTGGAAGACAGCTGTTCACCAAAGTGTTTTAGCTAGGCAGAGTATCAATTCTAATATATATGCACATCACAGAAAACAGTAGGGAGACACCCCCGTTCTAAACAGAGTTCCATGTACAGAAGATCCAAGATCCAAGGAAGCAGGTCCTGTCATGAATTATACTGCTCTTCCAATTATCGCCACCAAATTCCTTCACAAGAGACTTACATAATGTCAGGTGATTTCTAGGAAATACTAAAATCAGGTTGAGAGATTCTTCTTGATTTAGTCAATCTGAATAATTTAGGCTGGGAAGACAACTCCTCCAAGGGTTGGGTTGACTTTTGCCCACACCTTGCCTACAACGGAACCAATTAACACCTAAGGTCCTTTGAAGAGAAAAATTCCATTATTTTTTTTCTTTCTTGAGAGCCGTTTTTTTCCCTCCTCCTTTGGAAGGTTTGCAGTACTTTGCTTCCATCTGAGCCAGAAAATTGTCCATTTCCTTTTGCCGATCCTTTTGTCTGCTCTGTTTGAGAAGTTAAAACATGAGCTTTCAAACCACAGAAACAGAAAGTACTTAGTGGTTGCCAGGGGCTGGGAGAAAGGGAGAATAGAGAATGACTACTGATGGGTATGAGGTTTCTTTTTGGAGTGGTAAAATGTTCTAGAATTAGTGTTGATGGTTGTGAATATATTAAAACCCACTGAATTATACTCTTTAAAAGGACATATAGATGGTATGTAAGTTACATCTTAAAAGAAAACAAAATACCCATACTACCACACATACACTCCAAAGAAAATATTAGCAGTAGGAATCAGAGCATGAGAGAAGTAGTGACAACCTGCCAAGTTTACCTGAATGACTGCTTTCAAGTTATCTACTCCTTCATCGAGCCCCAACTCCTTCCTGCTAATTTCTGCTTCTCTGGCCTCTTCCTGAGCCTGAAACAGAGACTCACATGAGACTCCATGGCAACTAGGAAATGCTTAAAATACATCCTCTTTCCCCAAAACAAATTTATGATAAGACAGTTTCAATTTGAGGATTATATGAATAGACAAAATGAATAAAATTACATAAATTATGTCATTCATTAAAGGGCAACATTCCTGTGAGCAAGCAGTAGATCCTCTGAGATTCCAGTAAGCAACTCTTGTTTTATCCCCATGTCTAGTTGCTAGAGATAGCAAGTACTTTGGTACTTATAAACCACATGGTGACAGAAAATCAAAATATGCTGGGAGAGCTAGGAAAGGTCACCTAACCAAGGATGTCCTCCAGGCAGTTCAGATTCCTCCTCTGCAAACTGAATTCACTACATGGGACTGATGGCAGTCTTGGGAACACGCCTAGCTTAAAAGGATTTTTTGAGTAGGCAGAAGAAACAACAGTAATAAATTCAGTTTTAACCTTTGTTTACCTCATTTCAAAGCCACTTTCATTTGTTGAATTTTCCTAGAGCATTGTTCCCAAAATACGAGAACACCTTAGGGCAACAATTATAAGAGGCCCCGACCCCTTGCAAATTTTCTAAGTGGCAATGAATGCAAATAATTCTGGGAATGATGATACTTTAGGACTTCTTTATACCAATAAAGAGACACAGTTTCCTTGTATTCAAATTATCTCTTTAAATTCACCGTCCCTTCCAAGTTTGCCAGACTCTCAAAACTATGCCATTTCTCCCTCAAACTACAGGGAAGTTTCTCAAGCTAACAGCCTATTGTTGAATGCAGTTGTGCTCAGTTTCACCTGAGAAAATGATTTAACAACTTAGGATAAACTGTCAGCTTGAGTCTAAGCAGATGTAGCCTATGAACCAAAATGATGATCTTGTATGCATTCCACTTCTCCCCTCAGTTCAACGCCGAGGTGGCATGGCCTTGTAGGCAAAACAGGTCCTTTAAATTTTCACCAAACCAAAAAGGCCAGTTTACTCTATGCGTGCCTCATTTACCTAAAAACTGCAGACCTCTCCCACCCCCTAGTTCAGCCACATAAAATTAAGGCACCTCAAACACACACTAGCGATCCAAAATCTTAAATTGTCTTCTCTCCTTGGAGCTCTTATTATGAAAGCCAAGTTGAGAATGGTTACTTTGGCACAAGTCCAAGGCAACTTTCCCAAAAGACCAGAGACACAAATGTTTACTACCTTGAATACACTCCTTCCCTGAACTCTGTCACCTTTCCTCTGCCATCACCCCACCCTTCCCCACTCCCCCAGTTTATTTTTTTCAGATATTCTCCTTTATTCTCATATTTGTACTATGTAGCTGAAGTAACAAGCTTATAGAGTTTCCTGTGGATTACCTAAGGCTACATAGCAAAGCATTAATTGAGGCAGGGATTAAAACCCAAAGCTTCTGGACTCCTACTTTTTCTTTCCAGGAACTTTACCATTTTTATATAGGAAATGTTAGAGAGGGCTAGGCAACAGGATTCCAGAGTGTGAAGATGGGAACCCACTCTCCCAATTTTATTTGGCCTTGAAAACAGGAGTGCAGAATGGGTGGGTGGAAGAACCTGTTTTACCCGGGATGGTTTTGAGTCCTGTTAATGAGTCAGCCAGCCTTCTAGGATATAGTTACTCCCTCATTCCCCCTGTTTAATATGAGTGTAAAGGACATACAGGTCATAACCCTTGATTCTTGACAATCAAGAAAGTATTCCTTCCTCAAAGTGTAGTCAGAAAGACACCTTCATCAAAATGAGCTAAAATGTTTGTTTAAAAAATATGTTCTGAGGGCCGGGCACAGTGGCTCACGCCTGTAATCACAGCACTCTGGGAGGCCAAGGCGGGTGGATCCTTTGAGCTCAGGAGTTTGAGACCAGCCTGAGCAAGAGCGAGACCCCGTGTCTACTATGAATAGAAAGAAATTAGCTGGATAACTAAAAATATATAAAAAGAAAATTAGCCAGGAATGGTGGCGCATGCCTATAGTCCCAGCTACTCAGGAGACTGAGGCAGGAGGATCGCTTGAGCTCAGGAGTTTGAGGTTGCTGTGAGCTAAGCTGATGCCACAGCACTCTAGCCCGGGCAACAGAATGAGACTCTGTCTCAAAAAACAAACAAACAGACACACACATATATATATATATATATGTTCTGGATCCAACCCCTACACAAGAATCAATCTCTGGGCAAAGGCTCAAGAATCTGCACTTGTAACAAGATAGTCCTTGATGTCTTCACTCCATCCCTCAACTGAGTGAAGACCACGGTCTGTCCTATGTACCCAGACTCCATTACTTTATTTCCTGAGCAATGCCTCTCTACAAAGCTACAAGAATTGGCCCACATGAAAAATAGTTTAGTGTTACTTTAAGATGGTATTAAAAAAAGGGTTTCCCTTGATGAACTGGTATGCCTGTTTTCCTAGATGAGAGATATAGATCAAATTAACCCCAATCCTGACTTCAGTGGTTTTGTGTATACTTCCATTGTTATAAATACCCTCAAATCCTCTTCAGAATCAGTCAAGATATGAATAATCAATAGCATCCCAAATCTTACCCTCCTTTTCCTTGCATTCATCTTTTGTTTTGATTCTCTGACAAAAGCATTATAGGATGGGACCTCTCCGGTGTCAATAGCTTGCTGAATAATATTCCTTATCCTGGGTTCCTCTGTGTACTGCACACAAAGCACAGACTCCATGATCTGATCCATGTCACCCTTGAAATCCAGATATGCCTGTTTAATATCAGCCAGCTCTTCTTCAGAACCTTTGTATGTCTTTTCAAAGGCTTGAATGTCCTCTAGAGATATCTGATAAAAAAAGATATACTTTGAGAGTTTTATTTTAAATAAGAAGTACACTAGTAAAACTAGAGATTTAGAAGTTGAAATGTTTCTCCTTATATACAACAGTTGCTTGAGTGGAAATTGTTGCAAGGAACCAAATTTTCCCATGCCTAAGCTATTCCAGAGTTCTCCCTGGTCCAACCTTCACCATTGCTAAACTGGGGGCCAAGGAAGGAAAATTGAAGTTTCCAAGGGTGGGAAGAGACTGAGATAAACATTGAAGACTTACGTTTAGATATGTAAAATAAAGCATATCCTCTAAGAAAATAAGTTCTCCCTTTTCACTGTAACAATCCCTCTATATGTATCAACAGGAAAACAAAGGCTGTTTCAGTAAGTGTGACTCTATATTTCAAGACCAAACTCAAATTTCTCGTTCATACAAAATTAACACAAAATGCTAGGCCTCAAAGGCACTGAATAAACGTTTGTTGATTGAATAATAGTAAGTCACCAAGAAATCTCCAAAGTTTCCTACCTTTTTAAAGAGTAATCTCCAATATGCCTCCCAATCCCGGTCTTGCGTGAGCATAGCAGAGTCCTCGTCCACTGTTCCCTGTTCATCGTACACTGCTCTCTGTTCTTTGTCACTTAAAACGGAATAGACTTTCCCCAGGATCTGAGGGGAGAGTATCCAAAAGTCACTCCTGCACCTCCCCACCCCACTGAAACCGTGCCTAGAGAATAGAGAAAGCACCAAGCCGAAGTGAGTACACTCCTCGGAGCAGGGCTAGGTGGCTAGAAGACCGGGAGAGGCCGGGGAGGACGGACACGTAGGGGCAGCGCCCTGTATACCTGGAAGCGGCGGGTGGCGTCCTCCTTGTCGCCCTCGCCCACCCGGTCCGGGTGCACCTGCAAGGACACTTTGTGATAGCCCCGTCGGACCTCGCTGTCGGATGCCTCGCGCCGTACGCCTAGCACCCGGTAAAGGTCGACGGTACCGAACACTTCCTCGCATAGCTCCAGCAGCCCCATGCTAGGCTGGGGGCAACCACCACAAAAACAGCCGGTCACAGACGCATAGACTAGAGCTCCGGACGGCTTTTTCCCGCTCAAAAAGCCCAGGGCGCCCGCGTCACAAGAGGGACGGAAGGGGCGGGGCTACGCTGCGCAGCCGCGCTTTACGGCGGCCGTGCAGAAAGGGCGTGGCCAGACTGGCGCCCGCCCAGGTACGCTTTACCTGGAGCGGAGCGGCGCCCCAATCCCACCACACCCTCTCCAGCGCGGCCCTTCCCTAATTCTGAAAATCTGGCATCTTACCAGTTGTCTTACCCCCAGTGTCCCAGGGCAGAAAGCTTAATAATACATGGAACATCCACATATTAGGCTTTTACTAGTTGCTGGCCTTAAAAAAAAAAAAAAAGTAGAAAACGACCAAACATCAGCATTGGGCAATTTCACATGGTTCAACCTAACAGATTTGTTTTTCCAAAGACGATCCTGAAAGCAATAGATAGAGCCCGTATGCCCAGATAATTTTGCAACCTACAGGTTGGGACTGCTGGGGTACTTTCCCTCGAGTCCTGCAGGAAAAAGCCTGCATTGAACAAAAAGCACAAAACACTGGTCTTCTAAAAACTCTTGACACGGCTTATGAATTTGACGTTTATTACAGAATCATCTTCATGCACCTTCCTGCTCCCAAGTCACCTTACACATTGGTGGAGATAATGGCCCAAACCCTCATCTTAATAAAAACAAGCTGCTGAAGCAAAGATTTTCTTTAACGCTTTGTGAAGTTCATAGCTGGGTTAGAGCATGTTGTATCTTAATTGGTAAACAGTGTCAGCTGGAACAAATCATGGAAGACATAAATGGTGAGAAACTTCAGCCTGAAGACGCAAAATAAGACTAAGGCTGGGCCGGGCGCTGTGGCTCACGCCTGTAATCCTAGCTCTTGGGAGGCCGAGGCGGGCGGATTGCTCGAGGTCAGGAGTTCAAAACCAGCCTGAGCGAGACCCCGTCTCTACTATAAATAGAAAGAAATTAATTGGCCAACTGATATATATATATAAAAAAATTAGCCGGGCATGGTGGCGCATGCCTGTAGTCCCAGCTACCCGGGAGGCTGAGGCAGAAGGATCACTCGAGCCCAGGAGTTTGAGGTTGCTGTGAGCTAGGCTGACGCCACGGCACTCACTCTAGCCTGGGCAACAAAGTGAGACTCTGTCCCAAAAAAAAAAAAAAAAAGACTAAGGCTGGAGAAAACTCTGGAAATCAGGGAGAGGACAAGCTCACACAGAAAATATGTTTATATAGATCACAGACAAAGGATAAAACAGAATGCAAAGTGAATACCTGAGTTGGCAGAAATTTAGTGGCTCAAAGTAACATTTTACCTTAACCCATTTCACATCAATTCCCTTCACTGATCTTCACTTTTCAGAATCATTCTGCTCTGCCAGTAAGTTTCTGCAAAGCCTCAAACTTTCAAGGGTATAGTGACATCTTTTAAACCTCCAAGAGTTGTTGGTTTTCAAAGCATTTCTTTTTTCCAGATCCAAGATCAAACCCAGCCAATTCCTGTAGACCTTCCCTGGTTCAAAGTATGCTCAAAGCAAGTTGAGGCCAGCCAGCAACAACCCCAGAGGAGCTTTGATGACCCTAGAATTTGGGGTGGCTAGTAATTGTTCTCAGAACATAAAACCTGGAGAATAAGCTGGTACAGGGCTTTATAACCTCTATAAATTTCCTGTATCTTGGTCTTATGCCAGAATTTGAAGTCTACATTATCCAGAGTGTACGCTAAAACCATGTAAATCACAGTTATGGTTGTAAAATCCTGCAGTTTTGGTGCAGCAATGTGATGTTTTGTTTTGGCATAACCAATCATTTATATTATCAAACTCATGATATCTAAATATGATTCTATGACTGACTTTCTAATTGGACTCTTTAAAATGCCTCAATCTTTGCTCATTTTTCCACCCTACAGACAACATATGTTGGAAAGGGATTTGCAGGTAGGCATATTGCAGTCTGAAGCCAATATCACTGGGAAAATTTCTACCCCTAAGCCTCAGCTTCCCCATAAGTAAAATGGAGATAATCATACTTTCCTTCATGATATCTTATAATCTTCACAAATAACCTTGCATATAAATGGTCTAGGATATACATAGGTGTTTTACAATATTAGCCTTATTCCAGTTTTGTTTTTTTTTTTTGACGCCCAGGCTAGAGTGCCCTGGTGTCAGCCAAGCTCACAACCACCTAAAACTCCTGGGCTCATGTGATTCTCCTGCCTCAGCCACGTGCACCACAACATTTGGTTAATTTTTTCTATTTTTAGCAGAGACATGGTCTCACTCTTGCTCGGGCTGGTCTTGAACTCCTGACCTCAAGCGATCCTCCACCTTGGCCTCCCAGAGTGTTAGGATTACAGGTGTGAGCCACTGTGCTCAGCCCAGTTTCTCATTCTTAAAAGGCAGGATATTATAGTCCAAAAGCAATTTTTATAACGAATCTACCTTTGCAAATTTGAGAATATGTGTTAAATAGGACAATATAAATCTTCCAATTACAAAATCAATAAGCAAGGCAACTGTTCTTACACTTATGGGCTGATCATGAATGATTCAAGAACGATTTGAATATGCCATGAACATTTTGGCTGGGGGCTTTGAAGCAGGACATCTTGGAAGGCAGCAGATTGTAAACTTGTCCAAGAGACTGAGGGCCCAACCCAAAGTCCAATACTCCCACAGTCACTGTCTTTCCCAAGACAAAGGTTGAAAAGCTATTTAGTACCTAGACTCAGCTCTATGTTATATAAGAACAGATCTCTCCCTGGGCCTTGCTCAGACCAGGTCAGAAGAACATGGGTGACTCAAAGAACTCCATTTATTGACCTCCAAATTGAACGATTTTAAGATCCCTGCACAGGTGTTTTAAGAGGACCTTGACCTTATTCCCACGGCTATGATCACTGCAGTCAGCTTGCTTCTGTTGCTGAAGTTTCTGTATTTGTTTTCTGAGAAGCTAAGAGGACTTCACGTGCCCGTTTCCTTCGCAGTCTCTCAGCGTTTGTGATAATCATAGGATGCAAAGGGAAAAAGCCAGAAAGACCTAAAAACAAAAGAATTTTCACTTATTATAACACAGTACAAGCCAGTCTCCTTGGGAACTCTGCCTCACATAACTGAGGTTGTGAGACCTGACTCAGAACATGGAGGTAAACCATGCTCCTCACTTGCCAAACCCTGTACTACTTCCTCTTATCCCCCTAAGAAGACAAGTGGATGATGTCTACTTACTAACACTATTCTCCTTACTTGAAAAAAACTTAAACTGACCAGACAGCCAATCAATCAATACACACTATTCCCATTTTTAGCAAAAAATTCTAGTCATCGAAAAAGTCTCACAAAGGAGTACACCAAAGGACCTCCAGATTCAAATGGCAATTAGATCACAACTTCAGCTCCCATTCAAGTTCTGAGCAGCCTGGAAGGAATGAAAATCATCCTTCATTCTCATTATCCCGGAGCTGATTTCAGTTAAAAACCCCTCAACGAGGTAAGACAAGAGCTGAGTTACCTAGAAGCTTTTCCATGGGCTTTGAGAGGTGGGCCCCACAGCCAATCCAATACCGGATCCTTTCCAAGTTAAGGGCAACGAGTTTTTCTCCATGAGTGTTGGGCAGTGGATCATAGGAACCCAACTGCTCTACAAAACGGCCATCCCTGGGACACTTGTTGTGAGCAGCCACAATGCGATAGAAGGGCCGGTTGGTGCAGCCACCCAGAGCAAGGCGGATGGTTAAGTGGCCTCCGTGGTAGGCCTTGCAGAAGACGGTAGCTGTGGAAAAATCGCTGATTAGTGCACAAGAAATAAGGACGCAAATGGGCAAAATGAGAAAGACGAAACAATACCCCGTTTCCACTTAAATATCCTCACTTCCAATCTATTCTTGTTAATCTGTCTTAGATATTGTCTTCTTTGTGAAACCCCTCTTTATCTACTCCTGCCAGAAATGACCTCCTCCTCATCCCCAAGTCCACTCCGCATAGACCTGCCCTTTACTAGTTCTTTTGACCTTGTGCTGAAGACTTAGTTGTCTCATCTGTAAAAATGAGATGAAGACTTCAGAGAGGATGAAGCGGGAGGGAAAAACTAAAAGAAAGCTCAAACGTAAGGCAGCGGGGCTCTTTCAGGTTCAGGTCGCCTCCAGCACGCCTCCGAGCGCCGCGCCACCCGGTCCCGAATGCCCGAGCCCGCACGAGCGCGCCCGTAAGGTCTCGCGGGGCCGCGATGACTCACTGAGGTGGACCATGGTGCGGCCGGCGTGCGGCTCCTTGGAGCGTCCCGCTGCCTGCACTGGCCGGCCCTACGGCCTCGGCGGGGCGAGGACGCAAACTCCCAAACCCAGACGGTCGGTGCCGCCCGACACCGCACCTAGCCGCGAAGTTGGCCCAGCCCAAAAGCCTCGATCCCGGAAGCGGGTTGTCCACTCGCCCTGCCTTTTCCGCTTTCCGCGCCTACACTTCCCAGAATGCAACTCGGTGCCGGCTAATCTACCTTAAACTGCCGCAAAAGGGGCGCGTTTCAGTGGGTGGCCTGTGGGAATTTCCGTGTGACCCTTCATTGGTCTGAGTTCCTGCTGGAGCGAGGGGAGTTGTAGAATACCAGGCTCGCCGAGAGAAGTGATGCGTTCTCTACAAATCCGTACATCCTGCAAGCGGTCTTTGAGCACCCATTAGGGTGGAGGCGCAGTACTGAGAACACAGACATGAAAGGGCGCTGTCCCTGCCCCCATGGTGCTCAGTCTGGTGGGGAGACGGTGAGGTTAGACCAGAAAAGCTGGGGCGGTCTGTACGCAGTGCTGGCTGGCCAGGCAAACTTGATACTTCCTCAGGAAGACTTCACAAAGGAGGTAGCGTTAGGGCCAAGACTAGGGGAAGGATTATAAATGACTGTAGAGTTTACTTTTTCCTTCTCTGTTAACTAATTTGCTTCTCACCTTCCCACCTATTCTCCCACCCCCAAAGTGGTATTCAAGCCTTAACAATTAAAGGAGAGGGAATCTTTACTCTTGCTTTTGCTGTGCTGTGATCCAAGAGGGCAGGGGTGAAATAATGACTTATCTCTAGCTGTAGAATACGGCTTTTGGTGGAAGCTTTTACATCTGTATTACAGGGTAGTGGTGTCTTCATGGAACCCTTGTAGTTTATATCCGTGAAGATACCTGTGGTTGGTTAGAGGAAGTCAATACCTCCACCTTCAGCAAAGACCTCTCTGTTCAGCATTTTTATTCACTGTTGGTTCCAAAGGGGCTGGCCACAACTATTTAATAGTATGCTCTTTGCCTCAATACAATGATCAAGCATAGCTGTCTTCCTCTAGGCCACCTTTGAAAATAATGCCTTAATTCCCAAGTTTCAGTTAAGTGGACCTGGCCAGAAACCTTAGCAGCTGACTTCTTCCAGGAGTGGTCTGATAAGCTTTCATCAGAAAACCTAATAATGACCCCAATGTATAGCATAGCTGTACTATATATAATTCTTTTTTTTTTTTTTTTGAGACAGAGTCTTGCTTTGTTGCCCAGGCTAGAGTGAGTGCTGTGGCCTCAGCCTAGCTCACAGCAACCTCAAACTCCTGGGCTCAAGCAATCCTTCTGCCTGAGCCTCCTGAGTAGCTGGGACTACAGGCACATGCCACCATGCCTGGCTCACTTTTTCTATATATATTAGTTGGCCAATTAATTTCCTTCTATTTATAGTAGAGACAGTCTTGCTCTTGCTCAGGCTGGTTTCCAACTCCTGACTGTGAGCAATCTGCCCGCCTTGGCCTCCCAGAGTGCTAGGATTACAGGCGTGAGCCACCGTGCCTGGCCTATAATTCTTAATATAGAATTACATATGTTCAGTATACACTAATTAACTCGAGAACCACACTGATGAATTTTGAGTCTCTTATTTCCATTTTTTATTGTTATCTAGTTTACTGTCAACCAGTAAAACATCTAGTAAACACAGCCAATAGAAATAAACGAATAGGTTTCTGTTTATGGTGAAGATTCTTTTGTTTTCCAGCTCCAGGCTTCATATGGTGAAACTTTCTCTGGGAAAGAAAGCAGCTCAGAGTCCCACACAGAAAATTCTTCAGCTGGAAGGATGTCAGAAAGATGGATTTCCAAAGCCAACCATTTCCTGTACCATGTGGATCTCTTCAAGCAGAGCCTCATCTTTCAATTTCAGCTACATGAGAGAGGAAGGAAGAGAAGAACATGTCATACTTGATATACCTATGTGGCTTTGAAGATCCCTCATTTGTGGGGCCACAGCTAAAGAACATAGTTCCTTGGAATGGAATTGGTTCTTCCTATATTCCCTATTTCATGAAAACTCCATTAAAAGACCTTAGAACATTGTGCTGGTTAAATGGATATGTTTCCTTTGTGAGAATTCATCAAGCAATGTGAACACTCGTGATTTATACATTTTTTTGGTAAAATAACTTTATTAAAGTTTATTTTTTTTATTTTTTTATTTTTATTTTTTTGAGACAGAGTCTCACTTTGTTGCCCAGGCTAGAGTGAGTGCCGTGGCGTCAGCCTGGCTCACAGCAACCTCAAACTCCTGGGCTCAAGCGATCCTTCTGCCTCAGCCTCCCCAGTAGCTGGGACTACAGGCATGCACCAGCCACCATGCCCGGCTCATTTTTTCTCTATATATATTAGTTGGCCAATTAATTTCTTTCTATTTATAGTAGAGACGGGGTCTTGCTCTTGCTCAGGTTGGTTTTGAACTCCTGAGCTAAAAGGATCCACCCGCCTCGGCCTCCCAGAGAGCTAGGATTACAGGCGTGAGCCACTGCGCCCGGCCCTAAAGTTTATTTTTTAAAGTTTTCATATCACCAACATCTCTGGGCTAATGTGTAGTATTTTCATTTGGCAAGTGACAGCAAGTAATCAAAAGGAACCACAGGCTTTTATTAGATCTGAATTTAATTTTAGAATCTAGATGTGTAGTGGAGACATCTAGTAGCCTACTGAATACCCATTCTCTCTTATTAACAAAATCTTGATTTCTTTTCAGGACAGCAATGCAGTTTAAAAGCCACATTTTTCTGCTTCCTGTGAAGCCAGAGGTAGTCATATGACCAATTGTGGCCCAATGAAATGTAAGCTAAAGTCATTGGATTGAACACCTGGAAAAAGCCCTTTAAAGGGAAGTGAGGGCCTCTGTCTCTTATGCCTGGGCACAGAGCTGGGGTCCAAAAAAATAAATAAAATAAAATAAAGGGAAGTGAAACAGCTATAGCATGTCCCCCTTTTCCTTTTCCCTTTATTTTTCCTGAAACAGGTTTGGTAGGTGGAGCTACATTAGTTATCTTGCAACTATGAGGGATGAAAACTGCATGCTACAATTGGCAGAGCAGAAAGATAGAAGTTAGGTCCCTGATGACACTGTGGAGCTGTGTTACCAACCCTGGACTTTTCACTAGATAAGAAAAAATAAATTTGTTTGAGCCTTTGTCTTATTACTTGTCAGGTCAAATTATTTGCAATTCATAACTAATAAATAGACCAGGGATTTTTCATGAGCCAAATGCTGCCCACCAACTTTTTTGTAAGTAAAACTGTATTGGAACATAGCTAATCATTTATGTATTATCTATTGCTGCTTTTGTACTTAAAAGTGCTGAGTTTAGTAGTTGCAACTGAGGCTTTGGCCTACAAACCCTAAACAATTTCCTACTTTGCCCTTTACAGAAAAAGACAGCTGACCCCTGGACTAGACCAACCTCTACATTTTACACATAAGGATAATGAAGCCCAGAAAGGTTAACACAGTAAGTTAATGTCTTTCTCTTACACCATATTCTCTCTAAAGAGTTAGAAGAAAGATCACCTGTGGAATATGTAGGTTATTATTACAAACCTAGCAACTCCATGATAAGGGCAAAGATGGAAAGAAAAGCCTACAGAAAACTATTCACGTCATGCAATGCTCTGGAGTCCTGAATTAAGCCAGTACATTCCTCCCAGTTTCCCAACTTCAGTATGGTGCATGCAAATGGTCGAGGTGTCTGTGTCATACCTTTATTGTGTACTTGTAGGCCTGTTCAGCTTCCAGTTGCCGTCCAGCCTGAAAAAAATGCAGCAGCTGGTGATGATGACGTCACAAACATTATGGTATGGAAACTACATTGCCTCAACTGTTTCTACCTAAGATTAAGGAGTCTATACCTTCCTAGTTAAGAACCTCTGAATTCAAAGGGGAAGCTGGAAAATGAAAGTTGGTAGGGAGAAACAGATTTTTAAAAATTCCTGCATTTCAGAAAACTTAAAGAAAGCTTGGCCTCTCATTTTTTTCTGAAAGCACCTTGAGTTATTTGTTCCTCTTATGATGGAACACTTTCATAGTTCTTACTATGTGATTTACCTTGTTTTCATTGATGACATTGTTTTAATTGCTTTACATATGCTCATTCTTAATCCTCAAGACCTAGGCAATAAATATTATTATTTATCATTCCCAGGCTACAGAGAGAGAAACCTAGGCACAGAGAGGATAAATAACTTGCCAGGGTTATAAAGCTAATAATTAGAGGAGCCAGGTTTTGAAGCAATGCAGTCTGACTCCATAGTCCAAGTTTTTAACTACTACACTTTATTCCGTCTCTATGCATTAGACAAAGTAGATATTGGAATTACTTCCAGATCTGAATAGAGATGAGAACACTAACTATTCCTCTCAGCTGATATTATTCTTTGCTTGAAGCACTCTTCTAGGGGTTTAATGAGATAATATAAATCTTCTATTATACTTCACAAATCTGTTATATAGCAAATTAGTCAGAGTATGTAAAGTCACTTGGAAAACTTAACTACATAAATATTTAACCTCAGAATATTTGGGCAGGAAGGCAATTTAGGGACTATCTAGTCCAATTTTCTGACCAGTTCTAGTCCACAAAACGTTTTACTAGTTCACAAAACGTTCATACCCCAAACCCTTCCTCCTACAATATCTACACTTTGAAATGTTCTCACCTGAAGTTCACTGAATTGCCAGGTGCATTTTCCAGCACATATTCCTTTCCTACCACTACTACCTTTGTTTTCCTCCTGCCATAGGGAGGCAGTGGCCTAAATAATGTGAGGATCCAGAACAGCCAAAACAATTTTGAAAAATAATTTTTTGCTATTATAAACATTGCTGCAGTAAACAATCCTTATGCATGTCTTCCTGAATTTTTCTTAGGATTATATCTAGATACGACATTGCCAAATTATAGATATGAATTGACTAAATAATGCCACATTGCACTTAAAAAGTGGTTGTACCAATTTATATACACTAGCAATTATGAAACTGCTCATTGATGTTGGTAATACCATGCTTTAATTGTTGCCAATCTCATGGCTGTCAATTTCTGCCACATCATTAAATTGCTCATGCTTACTAGTGACACAGATATTCTTTCCATACATGTATTAACTTTTATAATCTCCACAACAGCAGACTGCATTTTCCTATCCTGTGCTCATTTTTAAATCATGTTGTTTGTTTTTTTTCCCTTATTATAGGGACTATTAATATAAACTGGATGCTAATTGTTTACCAGTTACAAATGCTGCAAATATTTATAATAAAGTCCTTAGGCTTTATATTAGTGTCTTTCTTATACATGAGTTTCTAACTTTAACATAGTTAATTTATTGATATTTTATTTTTGGCTTGTGTTGTTACAGTCCTTCTATAACCCTAGGGTACAGAGGTATTCACTATACTTCTAAATGTTCTGAAGCTTTGTTTTTAAGATTTAGTTCTTTAAAGCAGCTGGAACTGTGTGTGTGTGTGTGTGTGTGTGTGTGTGTGTGTGTGTGTGTGACATCTAAGGGATTTTTTTTCATATGAATAGTAGCCAGTTGCCCCATCACTATTGATTGAATAGTCCCATTTGTTCCTCATTTAGGAGGATGTTATGTTGTCTTTTTAACCCTTTGCACTCGGATGTCAAGTGTGACTTGACACGGTTAGCAAAAATTATAGAGATTCAAATTACTCTTTGAATGTATCAATAATTAGAAATATAAAAAATCCAAATAAATAAGTTTGTATGAAAAGAAGCTCCAGTTTATTCTACTGCCATGCTTTGTAAAATCGGGGTATTTTAAAAATTAAATCCCAAGTAGAATAAAGGAATCGAGAAAAAAGCAAGTGAGTGCAGAGTTAAAATAGCTATATGAAGGTATAATTTACATACCATAAAATCCACTAATTTTAGGGTTCAGTTGTATAATCATCTCCTCAATTCAGTTTTAGAAGACTTTTACTACTCCAAAAAGTTCTTTCATGCCTGTTTGCAATCAGTCCCCATACCCACCCTTGGCTCTAGGCAACCATTGATCTATTTTCTGTCTCTATAGTTTTCTTTATTTCAAATAAATGGAATCATATAATAGAAATATAGTATTTTCTGCCTTGCTTTTTTTTTTTTTTTTTTTTTTTTTGAGACAGAGTCTTGCTCTGTTGCCTGGGCTAGAATGCCATGGTGTCAGCCTAGCTCACAGCAGCCTCAAACTCCTGGCCTTAAGCGACCCTCTGCCTCAGCCTCCTGAGTAGCTGGGACTACAGGAATGTGCCACCATGCCTGGCTAATTTTTTCTATATATTTTTAGTTGTCCAACTAATTTCTTTCTATTTTGTTTTAGTAGAGACGGGGGTCTCACTCTTGCTCGAGCTGGTCTTGACCTCCTGACCTTGAGTGATCCTCCTGCCTCAGCCTCCCAGAGTGCTAGGATTACAGGCATGAACCATCATACCAGCACTGCCTTGCTTCTTTAACTTAGCATGATGTTTTTGAGGTTCATCCATATTGTATGAATCAGAATTTCATTTTAACTACTAAGTAGCACTCCATTGTGTAAATATACCTCATTTTGTTTACCCATTCAATGTTTCCAGTTTGGGGCTATTTAAATGCTGTGATTAAAGTTCATATGCAAATCTTTGTGTGGACCTATGTTTTCATTTTTCTTGGCTAGATATGGAGAGGTGGAATTGCTGGGACATATGGTAAATATATGTTTAGTTCTTATAGAATCTGCCAAACTGTTTTCCAAAGTGATTGTACCAATTTACAACCCTACTAGTAGTGTATGAGGGCTCTAGTTTATCCATATCCTAGTATTGTCTGTCTTTTTGACTTAAGCTATCCTTTTTTTTTTTTTTTTTAACAGTGTGCTTTATGGCAACAGGAAAAGCCTAACACTGGAGGAGGGAATTCATCCCCCAAGAGCTGTCGTTGTGCTTCTCTGCTTCAGTTTCTTCATTTGTAATAAAAGAGTATTGGGCTCAGCCAGCATTGTCTAATAGTGGGAGCCACATAAGTAATTTTCAATGTTCTATTAGCCACATTAAAAATGTGAAAAGAAATGGAGTTAATTTTAATAGCATATTTTATTGCGCTATTCTAGTAGGTGTGTTAGTATGGTATCACTTAGCATTATCTTAATGACGTATCTTTAAAAATGTTTTTGACATAATTTCAGATTAAAGTTACAATAGCAGTTCTCTCCTCTCTCTCTGCACATGAACATACATACGCCTGTGTATACAGTAGTCCTTCTTATCTGTGGTTTTGCTTTCTGCAGTTTGAGTCAACCTTGGGCCACCACAGTCTGAAATTATTAAATGGAAAATCCCAGAAATAATCTGTAAGTTTTAAATTGCACATGGTTGTTCTCAGTACCATGATGAAATCTCCCACTGTTCTGCCTGGGACGTGAATCATGCCTTTGTCCAGTGTTTCGTGCTGTAGACACTACACATCAGCTAGTAACCTAGTAGGCCTCTGGGTTATATATAGATTGACTGTCAGAGTATTATAGTGCTCATGTTCAAGTAACCCTTATTTTACTTAATAATGGCCTCAAAGCACAAGAGTACCAATGCTGGCAATTGGGTTATGCCAACGAGAAGTTGTAAAGTGTTTCCTTTATGTGAAAAGGTGAAAGTTCTTGACTTAATAAGGAAAGAAAAAAAATCATATGCTGAGGTTGCTAAAAATCTATGTTAAGAATGAATCTTCTATCTGTGAATTGTGAAGAAAGAAAAAGAAATTTGTGCATAGTGTATATATGGTTCAGTACTATCTTTGGTTTCAAGTATCTACTTGGGGTCTTGGAACATATCTCCAGGAGGTGAGGGGGCACTACTGTATCAATCTATATATACACACATACACATACATCATACTTTAACGTTTCCTTTTACACTTGAGAGTAAATTGTAGACATGATGCAATTTTAATATCTCAGTGTGTGTTTTCTAAAATCAAGGATAGTTTCTCATTTAACCACAGTACAATTATCAAAATCAGGAGATTAATATAGATGGAATACTATTAATGAATCTACAGACCTTATTCAGATTTTTCCAATTGTTCTAATAATGTCCTTTAAAGAAAAATAAAATTCAGGATCATGCATTGCATTCATTATTTATGTTTTCAGTTTCTTTTAAACTGGAATAGTTCCTGAGTCTTTGTTTCATGGTGTTAGCACTTTTTAAAAGTACAGAACAGTTATTTTGTAAAATATTCCTCAATTTGTGTTTGATGTTTCCTCATGATCATATCTTGTTATAAACTTTTGGCAAGAACATCACAAAAATGATGTGTTCTCAGTGCATCATATCAGGAAGCACAAATTGTTTATCCCAATACTGGTGATTTTAACTTTGATCATTTATTTAGATTGTTATCTGCCAGCTTTCTCTATTACAATGTTAGCATTTTCCCCTTTGTAATTAATAAGTATCTTGTGGAGAGATACTTTGAGACTGTGTAAATATTCTCTTACTCCTTAAACTTTCACCCATAATTTTAGCATACATTGATGACTGTTCATTGAATCACTTATAATTTCCAAATTGTGATTTTTCGAATTCCATCATTCTTTTCTTTTCTTTCTTTTCTTTTTTTTTTTTTTTGTTTGAGATGGAGTCTCACTCTGTCACTTGGGATAGAGTGCCATGGCATCAGCCTAGCTTATAGCAACCTCAAACTCCTGGGCTCAAGTGATCCTCCTGCCTCAGCCTCCTGAGCAGCTGGGACTACAGGCATGTACCACCATGCC